GATTGCTGTTATGACTGCTTTCCACTGTAGTAAACAGGCTCACCTTGCCTTTGGTGGGCAGGGTCTGGGTTTGGCGCTGACCTGCGGACGGACCTGCAGTTGCGCCGCGTGGCCTGCGGGGCGCTGTCTAGCGCTGACCTCCCCGCAGGGCATGCCTCTGTCCCCACTGTCCAGCAGGACCTTGAGAGGTGGCCCCGGTCACCTGGGTCCGGGTCGTGGAAAGCTTGGAGTGGACGCAGAGCAGGCCGACCGCGCCGCTGGGGACCGTGTTATTGACAGAGTCGGAGCAGCAGCATCTCCACGGTGTCGTCACTGTTTCACAGTGTTTCCTAGATGTCCGATGGCCTGGATGCCTTGGGTCCTCCTGGTGGGTGCAGTCTCGGGGTCTCTGCCCCAGCCTGGTCACAAGGAAGCTCGCCTTGTCCCCACCCGGGCCTGCACAGGAGCATCCTCCCTGAGCTCGGGTCCGTGCTCCTTTCGGGCAGTGGACACCCCGCTAAGATGAAGCTGAGAACCCCAGCATCACCTGCACTCCAGGAGAGCCGGGGCAGGGCTTCTTCACCAGCCAGCTTCGAGGGCCTCACGTTCTTTGGACTGCTTTGCCGGGTCTGCAGCCAGGAGTGGGCTCAGAGAGCCTCGCAGAACAGGTGCCTTGTGCCAGAGACAGACTCATGATCAGGGCAGTGCCCAGACTCACTAACCCGAAGGGCCTTCCTGCAAAGCCCTCCCACTCCAAACACCAGGTGCAGCCTGAGGACCTGGCCGGCCTACTGGGCCACGAAAGAGCAGGATCAGCGAGCGAGCTGGGGCACCCTGGTCCCGGCTCCTGCAGCCGCAGCCGGGTCTCATCATTCCTTCCTGCCTTGCACGAGGCTCTGGTCTCTGAAGCGTGAGCTCTCCAGGTGCATGTGTTTGGCCTTCTAAACTCAACACCCTAGGCCGCCAGGGTTCACCCAGGTGAACCTATGGGGAGCCCAAAGTGGAGATCGCCCGGGAAGAAAGTGACACCAGCTCTCATCTGGAGAGATCCACAAGTTTACAGACAGAGCTGTGTGTAGGCGCTTGGGTGAGAGATGGCCCAGAAGTAAAGCTCCCCCGCGGAGAAGGAACAAGAGCAGGGCTGAGGTGGCGCTGCGCATAGGAGGCGGTGGATGAGCTTGAGCGGGGACCTGATGGACACAGCCCTCGCTGGACTGCACTCTGGGGACAGCCCTGTCCCAGCCCCCCAGAAGGCAGAGAGGCTCCTTTCTTGGAGCCACGCCTCTCCCCCAGTCCGCTCTTGTCTGAGCAATGGGGACTGAGTTCCTCCACCCCATCACCAGCTGCACTCCCCACGCCCTCTCTCCGAAGTTTATTTACACTGAGCAGGGTCATACGCTGTCAACTTCATGGGAGAAAATGACAGTTGCAATGTAAAAACCTAGAACAGCTCCTGTCTGCTCAAGCAATACCCACGGCCCCTCCGAGTTGATCTCTGTGTGCCAGCTGTCAACAATCAGTGCTATGCCCCAGCAGTGGGTGGCGCAGAGTCCTGACTTATCTAAAAAGACACTAGGAGGCTGAGGCAGGAGGACTGCAAGTTCAAGCCTAGCCTGGGCAACTTGGAGACTTAGGAAGACTGCCTCAATTGAAAAGGGGTGGAGTACAGCTCTGTGGGAAGCCAGCCATGGCCCACTGGCTTTTTGAAAGATAGCATTTGTTCCTTGTTAAGGACTGCACGTGTTAAACTTGTTTTTGACCCTGCACGGGAGAAACTCCGACAGCCAAAGATCCGTAGGAGTCAGGTGCTTCCTGTTAAAGATCTGACGTTATCTGTAGGAGTCAGGTGTTGTAACTCCATTTTGTTAAGTTCCTCCACCTATTTGGGAATCATGATTATTAGATGCAAGTGTTGTTAATTTGTTTTTCTTGAGCCTGCTTTCTCTTTCCCGTGTGAACCCTCGTCCCCGTGGAGCAGGTGTTGAGGTTACTATGGTAATCCTAGCCCATAATAGTTTGGTCTTTTCCTTTAAAAGGCTGATGCCTGCCTGCAATAAACGTCGCCTTGATCAGACTCTTGTCTTAGCGTCCTTCCTTTCTCTCTGCCCCATCTCCACCCCGCTGCTCTTTCAGGTTTGAGACGCTGCTGGACAGTGCTCTGCGTCGCTGGCTCGCGACACAGCTCAGCATGAAGGCCCAGGTTCAATTCCAATATCAAATAAATAAATGGAATGCCACCCTGATCTGAAATGCCTCGGTGAAAAGGATCTGCAGGAGCGGAGATGTGAATGTGTCTGTGCACCAACACAGAAGCTCGCCACTCGGGAAATGGCTCAGCCCCAGCCCTCACCCAGTGGCCACCCAGAACTCAGGCAAGGATGCTGGACACATTTGCCAGCCACTCTGGTTTTCCAAAATGGCTGTTTCCTCCTGCAAGGAGCCTGCAGGCAGCCACAGGGCCAGCTCCAGGGCCTCGCCTGGCACCTGCCCCGGGGTGCACGCCTGGGACCCCCTCAGCCCGCAGCACCCAGGCTCCACGGCATCCCCCAGGCACGAGGTCTCTCCACTCACCTGGTGTTTGGAGTTCACAAAGACTTGCTTCTACCAAAAATACTTGAATTTTCCAAAATGCCCTCTGCTCCTTTGAAACACTCATCTCAAACTATCTACTCATTAGCTGGCAGATAGGAAAGGGCCTGGCTGACCAGACCCTATTATGCTCCACTCTGGGAAAGACCCAGGGTAGATCCCAGCCTCGGGATGCAGGTGCCAGGGGATGGGGGCGCTGCAGGCTCTGCACCCAGAGACCCCGGATCAGAAGGTCCCTGGAGAGGTCACTGTCTCACCTCCCTGCATCTGAGTATGGTTGCATCCACTGCCAAATACCAAAAGTATGTGAAGGAAGATAGAATTACAACTTGAAAATTTAATCTTTCCAAAGAACTTCTATAAAGGTGAAATTAAAATTCAACCCTCTGATTATAAGATTTTTGGAAATGTGTTAGCGCCGAGTGACCCCCTTTTCCCACCCCTGTCACACACTAGCACTTGCTCCAGGGACCCCTCAACCTGTGTCCACTGTAACCACCAACCTAGCGGCTTACACACCCTTTCTGGGGTCAGGAAAGAGCCCGTCAGAAAGGCCCCCCTCCTGCCAAGCCTGGGGCGAGCTCTCCCCACCCACTCTTGTGGCCCTCTCTTGGCACTGCCATCTTCCTGTAACAGAGGCGCGGGAAGCCGTGGAGGGAGCTCGCCCATCTCGCCACAGTCCAAGGGTTGGAAAGCACAGAGCAAACCAGGTGCCCTTACCGTCCAGCCAGGATGGATGGGCTGGCATCACAGGCCACCTCCCGCCCGCGCAGTGAGCGTCAGTCACAGAGGACGGAGGAGAAGGAGGGCATTCGGGGCAGCACTGGGGCCTGGTGAGAAATGGCGCAGCGACTGCTATCACAGCAGAAGCAGCGCTGCTCACGCTGATGGCGCTGCCGGGCCGGGGCTGTCTGTGCACTGTGAGCAGGCGCCTGGAACCCCAGGCTGTCCTCACCTGCCTCGTCCTCCACAATTGAGATGATGAACCTGCTGTGGCCGCTGATCAGCCCTGGGAAGGCACAGGGCGCAGTGTTACCCAGGCAGATGTCCTGCTAATCCATCTCTGGGTTTTCCTACCTTCCTGCAAAGCCATAAGCCAACTAGATGAACAATAAAACCTTGTGTTTTAGTCTCCGCATTTACACCTGGAAGACGATTTCTCTGCCTAGAATCAGGGATCCTTGAGTAGTGGGGCAGAGCAGAGGTCAGTGATCAGACCCCCAGCAACCAAGCTGCTGACCCCACGCCCTGCAGGGAAGCTGCTTCCTGAGGCAGTAGGAGTCCAGGGCCACGCTCCAAAAGCACTCTTATTAGCTGTGTGCCCTTGGCTAGCCACTCAACATCTCTGAGCCTCCGTTTCCTCATTTGTAGAATGGGCAAGAGTGATGTACTTGTCAGAGGGCAGAGCTGCAAAGGTGAAGTAGAGTGAGATCCACAGAGATGTCACCCATCCCGGGGATTCTGATGTCTACACCCCAACTACGAATCATTGGGAATCAACCATGCTATATGTACAGTCAGGTCTGTGGGGACAAACATAATGATAAATGAAACCTGAACGACCTAATAAGTGACAATAAAGGACCTCGACAATTACTAACTGTACATCGTTATAATCAAGAACCAAAGCGTGAAAACACCTACGTCCTTCCTACTATGGTGAAGAGAGAGTACTAGATTCACGCTAACACCTTAGTCAAAACCTACACAAGACAGAGCAAGAGTAGTTTAAAAGACGTCGAAGAGGGGCTGGGGATTTAGCTCAGTGGTTCCACCACCTGCCTCACAAGTGCAAGGTCCGCAGTTCAATCCCTGGCACCAAACAATTAATTAATAATTAATTAAAGGACATCACAGACCAGGAAGTGTAGGGTGTGCTCCCTGAGAGATGGCCATGAACCAGAGAGTCCTAAGATTGCTCCCAGCCAGGGAGGGGAGACACAGGCAGTGGCCAGCAGGGTCCCAGAGTCCACAGCACAGAGCTGAGTCCAGGGAGATCAAGGTGCGAAGCATTTGCAGGACAGATGCCAGGAAAAGATGACACAGAGGATGAAGTCCAGAGAGCTGCCAAGCTCCGCAAATATACACCCACGTACCCTGCCCCAGACACGAGAGGAAACCCCAACACCAGGAGAGAAACAGAGGCGAAAAATCCCTGTGGAATCCCAGGGCACTGAGGGTCCTCAGTAAGTCTCATCCCATGAGTGAGGGACAGAGAAGCAAGGTCACCTCTTCAGTCCTGCTCCGTAAGTATTAACAGCAAGACTGGGAAGGGCCAACCTGTTTCCAAGTAATCCAGCTTTGTCTAGAAACACCAAAAAGTCTAGCACCTACAAAGTTAAATGAATAGTTCCTGGCATCCAATTAAAAATTAGTAGGCAAGTGAAGGAGGAAGAAAATATAACACAATATAAAGAATAAAATCAATCCAACAAAACTGTCACAGCACTGGAACAGGCATTAAAGTTAGCACACAAAAACATTAACTTAGTGATTATGATGATATCCCATATGCTCAGAAAGTTAAGTAGACATATAGGAGATATTAAAAAAAAGACCAAAATCACATTTCTAAAAATAACAAATATGATTGAGAATTGAAAACAAAAAGCCACTGGATGGGATGAATGGCTGGTGAGACACTACAGAAGAAAGACACACTTTAATTAGATAAAAATTCAAGTACCACATATCAAAATGCATGTGATGCTCTCAAAGCAGTACTTAGGGTGAAATTTATAGCAGTAAACACAGAGATTTAAAAAATGAAAGCTCTCAGATCAATGAATGACCTCAGTTTCCACCTTCAAATGCTACAACTAGAACAAACCAAACCTAACACAAGAAAAAGGAAGGAATGGAGTATAAATCGATGACACAGGAAAAGGAAAAAGAAAAGAAAAAATATCAGTGAACTCAACAGCTGGTACTTACAGAAGATCAACAAAACTGATTGGAACAAAATGAGAGAGAACAGTATTTAGAGTAGGATGAGTAACAGTAACATAATCATAGTTTCTGTATCTACTGAAAAGACAATAAGGTAATATTATGAACTAATCGATACCAGTAAGTTTGGCAATTTAGACCAGTTGGACAAACTCCTTGAAAGACACAGACTATGGAGGCTCACTCAGGAGGAAATAGATAAATGAGATAGCTTATATCTACAAAATAAATTGAATTTAGAGAAGAATACCTCAGGCTCAGTTGGCTTTCCTTGGAAAGAACACAGAAGATGGGGATTCCACACACTTTACCCAAACTCCCCTAGATGCTGGAGGAGGAGGAGGAGATGCACTGCTCTCCTTGTTCTCTGAAGTCCACAGCACCCAGATGCCAAGGTCTGACAAAGACATTGCAAGAGAGGAAAACTCCAGCCCATGATCCTTTCATCAACACAGATGCAAAATATTCCAAACATCATCTAGCAAAAGCAAATTCTACAATATGTGAAAAGGTTAGTACATCCTAACCAGAAATACAAGATTTCTTTAACAAAATAAAGCTATTAAATTCACCAAAATGAAAAAAAGAAAACCCCACATGATTTTTCTAAATAGATGCAAAAAAGCATTTGACAAAATCCAACATCCATAGCTAATACAAACTCTCAGAGTCTAGGAATAGAAAGAAACTTATCCTGATACAGACCACATTCAAAACATATAGCTAACATTGTATTTATTGGTAAAAAATAGAATGTTTTCCCCCTTATATTCAGCACTGTATTGGATATTTACACTGAAGCAAAAAATAAAGAATAAAAATCATAAAAAGGCCTTCCAATTTGGGGAGAGAAAATTATCTATATTTACAGATAAAATGGTATTTTACCTTGAAAATTCAATAGAATCTAAAAGCTACAAGAACTTGTAGAGTAGCCCATCACAAATTCAATATGTAATAAAAATGTGTATATTATAAACTAACAGTCAAAAACTGAAACTTAACAGACATTTACACTATGCAGTGAATATTATGAAATATCTGGATATGCACGAATCTATAGGGAAATCTATGAAACCTTGTAGTGGTTTTATTCACAACTTTCACAAACTAGAGCTGAACCAAATGGACCCTCGGCACCCTGCACGGAGTCCTACTAACCACACTAAAAATTCTAAACTCCTCTCTGAAAGTTACCCTGGGAGACTGTAACCCTAACTGCCAAAGGTTGCTGTGTCCGTTATGTATAGGACAGGAAACGAAATACGCCTCTCGTTGGCCCCAATGGAGGGAAACACCATCTTGCAGAAAGAGGCTTGGGTCTGACTCAGCCTCAGCCAAACCCCTGCAGCAGGGCTCCCCCTAAGAGCTTCTTGCATCCCGCTTACTTGTTTTGAACACTCCCAAACTTGCCAAAGGGGCCCCCGGGCTGCCCTCCGTCCCCAGTGAATATGTACAGATGGCTGTCCAGGCCAAAGAGCAGCTGTCCGCCATTGTGATTGGAGGCCAGCTCTTCTATCTCCAAGATGATCCTGGGAGAGAAAGTGAAACAGGCATAGGTTGGACTCGGCCACAGCCGCCCTCTGGGGACACTGACAGGGACAGTCCAAGCCTGAGCTCGGCTTCAGCACCCCGAGGACTGCAACACAGGCGGCTTGGCGCTCTGGTCGCCTGGCTTCACGACGGAACTCCTTCCTGGACCACTTCTCCCCAACACCGACTTCAGGAGGGGAGAGCGCTGGGGAGCGCCCACCCCACCCTCCACCCCTCAGCGGGGTTAGTCGCTCGCCCTGCCCTTCCTTAGCCTCTGCCGGAGAGGAGGCCAGGAGGGAGAGGGAAAGGCAGGCGGCAGAGCCCTCACCTGGCTGGCGGCACAGCTCTGGCCTGGTGCTGCAGTTCCTGCAGGATGGGGAGCCCCACAGCAAGGCACAGGCTCTGGGGTGGAAGGGCCACCCCGCAGCGCGACCCCACTCACTGACATCATCTGGGATCTTTCTCAAGCCCTACGCCGGCCTTGCTCACCTCTGAGAGATGAGCAGCTCGCTCTGATGGGGCGCTGTGGGGGTGACTGCACCCCAAGAGACTACCCTGGGGGTGGGGTTAGACGGTGACTCGTAGGCAGCATTTCTCTACGGAGTGATGGAAATTCTCTAAAATCGCAATGGCTGCACAACTCTGAACGAATTAAAAACCACTGAACTGCAGCGAAGGGGTGGGTTCTAAGAGCTGCGCACGTCGATCAGCAGCGACGCCCTCCTGCTCATTAGAAGGCCGCGCTGAGGATCCTGAGCTCCTTCCGCCCCCGGGGGCGTTGACCAGGGCTGACCCGGGCTGACAGGGACCGACCCGGACCGACCGGGGCTGACCGGGACCCTCTCCGAGCGTGCGCTCGGCCGCAGCTGC